CACAGGTTCAGGCTCATACCAAACTGCCAGATCTGGAATCAAAGAAGAATTTTATTCCCAGACGGGCTGGCAACAAAAACAGAGCTTTTCACCTAGGTCTGCAAAGTGAGGTGTGATCAACCTGTTGAAAGCATCTCAGAATATTTCATTTATTCACTACCCCGGAGTTACAGGGGACTTGGTTTCCTTTGCTTTCTGAAAGTACAGTGCCAGGTACTCCTCTGAACCCTAGCCCAGCCCTTGGCTCTTTTTGAAAAATAATCTGGCTGAAATACAACAGCTTGAGGTCAGACAAGATACTATCTGACCTCAAGCTCTAGAAAACTATTAAATCTCTACATACCTACAGCAACCGAATTAAAAATGTTTAAGATTAGCTTCGCTTAGAAATAATTTTAAGCTCACGAAACAAAGCAGTGAGAGTGTTTCACTTTCATTTCTGCCAGTTTCGATTCTTTCCTCCACCTCTCAGACTAGCATTAGAAAATTCTACATTTGAATTGCAAAAACTCAGCGTGAGGCTTACTTTCAAATAGGGGGGAAAAAAAGCCAAAAAACTTTGGAGAAGCTATTTCTACCCATTTTCCTTTCCACTTCTTCCTCTCAAAGTTGTTCCACTGGACTTAACTCCCTCAAACACACACATTTTGGGTCAAACTTTGACATAACAGGGCCTCTTCAAAAATATAGGCCAAGTTAAACTGTGAGCTCTTGCATTCTGAGCTGCTCTTCTGCAAAGCATTTCTTCTTAATCATTTCATTAGGAGCAGAACTGACTGTACCTGGTTTTTTGTGCTCCCCAGTCACAGTCTCGCTCACAGCCCTTTGGGCAAACAGAGGAGACGTGCTGGGGCTGGGGGAACATAACCATGGACTGGTTTGCAGCTCCTCCCTATGAGAAATGTAACTTCCTCTCCTTTACCGAGACAGGACTGTTCCAGAAAACACTCACAAACTCGATGATCTTCTGACATTACTTCAAATATGCTCTAAAACATGGTCCCAACTGGCTGAAGGTCCAAAAGTAACCAGAAGAGTAACTGAAGGGAAAGAGAACCGGCTTGCAAGTTTTGTTTCCCCAGGGAGTACTCGATTAAATATAAACAGTGAAAGTACTACAAACATAAGTGTTATCAATCTCCTTCTATGAAACATTCCCTCCTTTGAGACAGGGAGATGTGTATTTTATCCAAGGCCTGCTTTTATCTGCCCCATTATGACTGTCCTTAAGCTCAAATCTCCCAGTCAGCCCTCCCACAGTAAGTGGGGTGATTAACCTCAGTGCCCCCCTCGCCTCTTTACCAATATAGCCCAACTGAACTTCCTCCACAAAAATAAAAGGAAATTCTGCAAACAAAGGTTACAGCCAGTCAGGAACAACAGGAAAAGTTGTCTTCTGCACTCTGTTCATATTGCAGCACAGATCATGTCCACAGACACCCCTAATATGCTGGGGAAGATGGGCTTTTCTGGACTGTTTACAGCCTTAGGCCTATTTTTCTGTCTGAGAACTTCCACAAACCATTCAAGCCTCTCCCATGTTCTGTGTCAATAATTTAAAAAAAAGTTATCACACGTTTGTGTTTGTTTTATGATGAACAAGACATAACTTAGTACAAACTATTATGGATTCTTGATATTTTTCCAAAGCACTTAAAACTAAAACTACCAGAGATTACCGGGCACTAAAGCGCCTCAGGCTCCACCAGCACTAAACCCATCGGTATTCTTAGTAACAAACACAAGTGCTACACAGTGTTTCAGATCTCCCTGTTACTACAAACTACAGAATTTATCTTAGTAAGTATAATACTCCCAAAATCTATCTAGAAGAAAGCCAGTACAGTGCACACAAAATTTAACAGACAAATCAGGGATGCAACAAAACACACTCTGGGCTCAGTGAAAATAAAGAACTCAGTAGGAAACCGATGCTGTGTTTACAGCGTGGAAAACTGAAAACTTCCAAGGAGTGATCACTAGATTAACAACTGTGTATATATAAGTAAAAATATATACAATTGTAACAGCATGATATCTGAATTACAAAAGTACTGCTGAGTAACTGAAGTAACAAGAAAGGCTTTGCTTGATACAAAACTTAGTAACTATGTCGGTGCAAATATCTTACAATTGAATTACGAAATGAGCAAAATCTGCTGGATGTGAGATCTGTAAGGGATGTGCTTGTTACACATCACTCTCTGCATTGACACTGTTTTTCCTACAGCACAGGATGACTCACAGAGAAGGTGAGAGAGAGGCACGTCACCATCACCCAATGCCAAGAACACACCTTCTGACCCTACTACTGCTGCTGACTCCCATTCCAAACTGGGGAAAGCCATCCTCTGTCACACCAGCTGTGTAACTAAGCTACAACAGCTTCCTTACCTCTCCATTTCATACAGGCTTCTCATGCTTTAGTCCATTTTGGTTCTGATACTGGGTTTTACTTCACAACTGACTGCAGCAAGCACTGGAGCCAGAGGAGAGGAGCACCTGCCTCAAATCTCACGTATGCTGTGACACACATGCTGTGATCAGAGCAGAAACTGCTCCAAGGTAGCTCCAACTTTAAAAAACAAACACACACAACACTTGCACCAATGCCTCTGAGGAGGCTGGAAAAACACAGTACAGCAATGCACAGGTTTAAAGCCTTTCAGAGGCTAAACTGGCTTCCGGAGACCTGAACGGATCATGAAACTGGCTTAAAGAGCAGCCACACACTGAACTCAGTTTATCCAACTTGCTCTTAACCTCCCTTTATGTGGTGCTTATGCTACATAAACATACAGCAGTAAGTATTTGTGGCACCTGGATCTCATATTTAAACAATTATGATCCCTTTGCCCCAACTGGAATCCTTGAGGAAGGGATGGCCTTTGAACTACCTCATACCAGTCGCAAACTTCTTGCTGAAAAAAGTGTTTCATACATCAACAGAAATAAAAAAAATAAAATCTAAGAACATCTCATAAATTGTTTTTTCCCAAAGATTTGCTGAAACTTTAGAATCAAAATTATGAACCAAGGATACAGTATGAGTACATCTGCACGTATGCATGCATTTCTGATGAAAAGAAAAAAAGTAAAAATTAGATTCGTGTGCATTGTTACAAAATTTAGGGAATTAGTTTTTAGGACTTCTAAGTTAAACAGTTTATCAAACAATACACAAAATCTTCCTAATGTGCCAAAAGCACTAGAAATGTTGACTTTCACTAGATTGCTTCCATTGTGTGAATTAATCCACTAAGAAATTGCAGGATCCTTCTTTCTGTGAGTTCTCAATAAAAGTCAGTACCGGTATGACATTATTTCATTAAGCTAGTGACAAAAATAAAGTTAATTCAGTAGAAATGCTTTGTAAAATTTCAAAAGCCAGTATTTCAAAAGTAGAAAACAGGATATACTCTCAGCTGGGCAAAATTCTGAATTGCCTTACAGCATCACTATGAACACACAATCCAAAGCCATCACTCTGACAAGCAGATCCACACGACATTTTACAGAAGCTCCCCAGGGATATTTTGCTTTCAAGTAGGACACAGGGAAATCCCGCTCCCCTTTCTTTCTCCCCACAGCAGCAATTCCCTTCAGAGGAAGAAGCAGGTAAATGCCCTGCACTGTGCAGGTGTTCCACAGCATCCAGCAGTTTCTTTTCCACTGCACGCTGAGGTAGGAGAGAAAAGCCCCAGCTGTCCTCTGTGCAAGAAGAGAACACAGAAGGAACTTTCTGATCCCTTCGTGTTTATCTTCTGGGAACATATCCCAACATGTACGTTCCGAGAAATTGCAATTTTATCCCAAAATTAATTTTATGAAGGTATTTTCACTGAAGTTAAGTAGAAAAATGATTAAAAAAAGCTCAGTGCAAAATTGGCGTTTGCAAAAGAGACCTCTTACTCCTAATATAGCACCTTCTGCCAGATACTGTAATTAAGTCATACTTCCATGGCTGGCTTACTTTTCTTGTCACGGAAATAATTATGTCATAACTATCTGGGGTCAGACTATCCAAAGAGCACCTACTGAAACTGGAAGCACAACTCAAACCCATAAAAAAAACACGTATCCTCTATTTTCAAGCAAATGCAATGACCCTTGAATCCAGGACACGTTTCAGGAAGCCAAGTGACATGGAGGTGGCAGGGATACAAAAAAATTATCAGATCCATACTTAGATACAACTATGTTTTTAATGTACTAATCTCTACCTTAGCCTAAATCCGATTATATTGTTTCTCTGCATGTTACGAGCTCACCCTCCTCCTCCCAGAAACAACCTTATAAGAGAGGAGGCCTCAGGTAACATGTCACATTCAGCCAGCTGGCAAATCGCAACCTATTGCAAAAGCGGCAAAGTCGTTCAGCTGTATTTGTACATAAAATAAGCCAACAAAAGAGCACGACCACGTCGGCGAAGAGATGCCTGAGTGTCACATTATAATTCACGGAGAGCGGAGGGGGCACAGCCGGCCAGGGCAGCCCCGACACGGGGCATTTCCCCGCGGGCCCCGGGGGTCTCTCCCCCCGCCGTATTTAATCGCACAGGGCGTGCGAACAACAACCCGCACGCAGCAGCCCCAGCCCGGATGCGCCCCGGGGGCGGCCCCGGCCCCCGTTGACCTTGGGGCGGCCCCCGCGCCGCGACCCCCGGCGGCCCCCCTGCCCAGGCGCGGGGCCCGAGGCCGCCACGGGCCGTCGAGGCGGGGCAGGGCTGGGCGGGGGGCGCCGGCGCGGACAGGCCCCCCCCACCCGAGCGCGGCCCCTGCCGCCCCCGCCCCGGGCAGCCCCCGGCCCCGGTACCTGCGTGCGGCGCTAGCGGAGCGGACGCGGCGCCCCCGCCATGCCCGGCCGCGGCTGCTGCAGGCCCCGACGGCAGCGCCTCAGTCCGGCCCGGCCGCCATGTCAGCCGCGCCGCGCGGTGCATTGTGGGGCGAGGGCGGGGGGAGCGCCCTGGGGGCGGTGGCGCTGAGGGCGGCGGCGGCTGACAACGACCCGACCCGGCCCGGGGGGACCCCCGGCCGCCAGGGGAGCCTCCTGCTGCCTTAGAACTCCCCGGTGGCTGAGGGGCCGACGCGCCCCGCTCCCCAACACTCCCGGCGTTCAGGGCCTCCCTCCCCCAGTGCCACAGCAGCAAGCGGGGATGAGGGAATACGCGGAATAAGCAGCACGGTTTTTTCTTAATCCCCCCCAACAGCCATCCTAATTTTCCCCCTCCTTTTCTCAGCCCAGGCCTCTCCTTACGCATAAAATCATCAAGGTTGGAAGAGACCTTTAAGATCACCCAGTCCAACCATCCACCCAGCGCTGCCACTGTAAACCCTTAAAGCACTGAACCACATCATCCAGCGCCACATCCAGGCGCCTCCTAAACACCTCCAGGGACGGTGACTCCACCACCTCCCTGGGCAACCATTCCAATGCCTGATCATCCTAACAGTGACATTTTTTTTTTCCTAATAACTAATCTGAATCTGCCGTCTCAGTTTAAGGCCATTTCCTCTAATCCTCTCACTGCAGGCACGGTAGAAGAGACCGGCCCCTCACCACAATCTCCAGTCAGGTGGTTGTAGAGAGCGATGAGGCACATGCACCCCCAGGCCCCGTGGAGCTGGGTTAGGGCTCCACGGAGCCCCACGCCACAGCCCCAGCCTTGCTGCCCCCTTCCCCAGGGCTTCCCCTCCTCTTCCCCTCTTCTCCAGTCGGTGGAGAAGGACAGGTGTGCCCCGGGGACACTGGGGAAGTGGCTCCAGGCTCCCTGACCTTGGCTATGGAGCTGGCCCCGACAGCAGCTTGGCCAGCATGTCTGCTGGCAGTCTGCAGGTCTCCAGGGAGAAGAGCCAGCCTGCCAGCTCTTAGCAGTGCTGGACGGTGACCTAAAGGCACTGGCAAGTGCTTGTCTGAAGCAAATCCCTCTGTGAGCCACTACTACCCCTTTTTGGCACTGAAATGCCATGTTGGCACTTGAGGCTAAGGAGGCCTTTCCAGAAAAACAAGGCATGTAAAAGATTAGTCTTGAACTACTATAGGGGTTCAAAGGAAAGTATTAAAAATAACAAGAACAGGAGTGCTGGAAACACTGCCTCAGGGAGTATGTGCAGGTAAACAAAAGTTGCAAAATCTGTAATACTGGATTCTATAAATACTGACGATTCATACTTCTGAATGTATTGTGAAGTCAGCACAATCCTGACTAGGGTAACGTGCTATTTTTTTGGTTCACTTGAAGTTCACACTTTACAAAATTAGGACTGGATAACTCAGGGATGTACTACAGAGGTTTCACCTTCAGGAACGTGAGCCAGGTCAGTCCAGGGCAGCAATGACAGAAACAGCAGTGCTTCCCTGGGGCCAGCTCAGGTTAACTGGGTGGTGGTTTCAGCCAGTCCTGTTTGACAAAGATTTTTATTAGGTTTCATAGGTCAAAGAGTAAATTGCAAAAGTAACCTAATTATACTTGCTGCTGGATACAGTCCTCCTAGATCAACATTTAGACATGCTAGTGAGCAAACACACACCAGTTTGCAAACCTGACTAACATATTTCCTTCAAATAGTTGGATAGACTTTAATATGAAATGTTAGTGCAGTTTGGCTCTGAAAACTTGAACCATTTATAAAGCCAGGAGTCTTTGACATAGTTCCTCTCTGTGTTCAGAAACAATGCTTCCTTCTTTGCCGATGTTAAAGAATGTTTTATTGCAGGGAGCAGTATAGAAACATGGCAGTAAAAGAGGAAGCTGAGTTCTACTGCCAGCTGGCCATTATTTAAAGAATTCCCAATTCAGTGCCAGTGATCAAAACCTTTCAGATTCTGGGCTCAGTTTGTAGGACAAAATAGAATCCTGAAAGCCACTAAATTTTATCTAGAAATCAGAGACAATAAGCATAAAGCTGTAAGAAGCAGATTTTATAAAGTCCCTTTCCAGAGCACAACTTGATTATCTCCTGTTGCAGTATGACCTCAAAGTACTATAGCATTACGCCTAAAAAATGTAAAAGTGTATTGTAGATTTCTTTTTCATTTTCTAGCCAAAAAATGCTGTTGATCACCATGGGAACGATTTTTAAAAATTATTTTTAGGATTTACTAGGTTTTTAACGTCTATTTAAATGTATCTACTGCATTAAGGTCCTGTTCTCTGTCTCTAGCTGTGTTGGAAGAAACTCTAAAACTTCTTAGATAATTTACTTATCAAATGAGGAAATCATACTTGACTGTCATCTCAAGGATAGGTTCCTGGTCAATACTACAGCCAGGAAACTTTACAGAAAGATAGAACTTATCTGTGAAGAACTTCAGGTTCTTAGCAACTGTATCTTCCCAGCATAGTACAAGATTTTCTATCTATATATTTTTGTAGCATATTACGTTGTTTATTGATGTTGGATGTCTATTTAAGCAGAAATACATAAAAAAGATGTGAAAATCTGAAATGCTTAAAAACTACAATTAAATTTGTCAACTAGCTATACATGTCTTCTTCACTTACAGTAATGCCAGTCATGCTTGAATTACCTAAGCAAATTTAATCAAAATGTCAAAGATCTACCAAAACTCAGTTAAAAAAAGAAAATAAATCACCAAGTGAGATGACAAAATGTAATTTGCTCTTCAAAAGATAAATTTCCAATATGCCTTGGAGGTTCTACTTAATTGTTTTCTGTAAATCGCTGCATTTTGCTTTTCTTTGCCAAGAACTATCAGAATCCCAGCCATGGGTGACCAGTTTCTTGGGCCAAGAAAAAAATCAATGACCATTTAATGCTTTCTATTGTTGATACTTTATATGTCCAAATCCTTTTCTTCCAGCAGGTATAGGAGCAAAATTGTACAGATGGCAGTTTTTTGTTGCAGGCAACCCAAGAATGACATCAGTGCACTGAAGCAGTGGTTTGGTTCTGCATGTCTGAAAACTTTGGTACCAAATTCAGTTCCTGATCCTTAATTGCCTCTTTCTTGCTTAAAAACCCTTTGGTAATGTCGTTTCCCCCATACCACACTGTAGGACCAGTGCTGTGGCCACTCACTCCTCCCTAAACAGGAGCTTGTGAAGATGAATTTCCTGCAGGCCTGGTTCCTGTGGTGGTGTTCCATGTGATGTTCTGCACAGAGTGTTTGTAGTTCTGGGTTTGCTGACTGTAAGCTGGGACTCTTGTTCAGAGCACTCACGTCAGTAACCAATAGCAACCAAGCCATTGGTATCCTTTGACATTACACCGTAGTTACCAGATGCTATACTTAGTACACTAAAAAAAGGCACTTGCAAATCTGTCAAAAATCATAACAACTCTATCCCTTATTTTCCCAGGACGTAGTTAAAGCAGGAACTTTAAATCTGACTGGATTCCACAGACCGTTCTCGAGCCGACCAGTACTTTAAAACCACGTACAGTACTCAATGCACCACCGCCACCATGAAATGCTCCATGTCAGAGTGCGTGGATCCTCCATAAATCCATCCTGCTGAGGTTTGGTGTGGACAGAGCTTTAGGAGTGCTGCAAAAGGCCGATTTGCAGCAGCCGGTCCTTTGCGGCGGCGCTGTGCCGGGCCGGGCAGAGCGGCGGCGGCCGTGCAGCATGCTGGATCCGGAGGGCAGTGTGGAGCATCAGCCTTCCCCTTCCTTCCCCAAACTCCTGCTCATCCCTCTAGCCATGCTCCTCGCAATTGCAGCGCTCCTGCTCTTAGCCTTTTCCGCCACGCGGCAGAAAGAGCCTGATTTTTACACTTTCAAAGTTGTAAACATCAGGGGCAAGTTAGTCTCCCTGGAGAAGTACAGGGGCTCGGTAAGTCCCGCGGTGCTGGGCTCTGGCCCAGGCTCACTAACAGCCAGTCCTTGCATGTCTGCGGGGCGAGAGGGGGGGAGAGAGCACAGAAACTTGGGGCACAGTCTCGTGTAGGTCTGGGTTTATCACTCTTTATCTCACCACTCTAACTGAGGGCAGTGCTGCCTGCATACTGCCTGGGTGCCTCTCCCCACATCTCTGCACTCCTGTTTAGCGATGGTATCTAGTTAATACAGGCTCCTTCTCAATAAATGTTTGCAGTCTAACCCCTGTGTGTGTCTGCGTCTTCTCCCGGGGCAGGCGGCTGCTGCCTGTAGACGTGGCAGGCAGGGAATGCTCCCCGCCTGCTGTTCCTGCAGCTGGATGGATTGCACTGGATCGTGGCTGTTCACTTGGAAGCTCAGGAAGTTTATGTCTTTGTGTAACTTACTTTTGGAGCTTATTTCTGCCTTTTAACCGCATGACTTCTTGTATATTATTTTTACTTAAATCCCATTCCTTTTTAATGTTCTACATTGAAAAGAAAGGGATTTAGTCAATGGCTCATGGAGTAAACAGATTTCACCGTAGTTAGTGAAAACGTGAGAGACATTATAAAGTAGTTATTGTAATATCAGAGTATAATGAAATTGTAACACCGTGCTATTCCTCTTTCGCTTTTTAGTGTGTGAAGAAGGGCACGTAGACACACATATACTTTATGATGTCTTTTAAATTTTATTTACATATGACTTTAAGGAGTTTTAGGCAGAGCTTTCCATGCCATTTTAAAACAGTGTCCTTGTCTATACTGTGATTTTATTTTAGTTTAGTTAATTTAGTTTTTCAGTGGTTCGATCATCTAGAAAACATAGTCAGTATCTATGGAAGAGTGATAAGGGAATTTAGCACACTGAAGGCTTAATACTATAAGCTCTTATGGCCCCACTCACAAGTTACAGAAGATAAAATCAACATAAATCCCACAAGTGCCCCCTTCAGCACTCAAGTGACACATCTGTGACACTTGCAGGCAGTCCAACAGCTTACCTGCTGCTCAGAAAGGCACCACCTCTTCTCGCTTTCGCCCTTAATGTCCAGTATTGTGTTTTCACCTTCCTTTTCCCCTCCTCAGTTGCTTCACTGAGGTGTCAGCTCACCAGTGCACAGCAGCAGGTCACTGAAACATTGGCAGATAGACAGAGAAGGCATATGGGGAGATGCACATTTTCCTGAGCTCAGCAGAAAGGGATACTGGTGGAATTGGAACAAATGACAGGACTGAATCTTACCTGGTCAAAGTTCTCATCTCCCTCCATGCACAATTCAGATACAGCAGAACTGGTCCCATGCCCACTCCAATATCTCAAGTGGAAAAAAACATGGAAGCTGTTTAATATTGAGCAATATTTGTGCTTTTTTAATCAGTTCCTTCCAAAGGCTCTGTCAATAAATCCTGCTACTGGGGCATGTTTTGTCTGCAGGTCATTGCAAATCTGAATAAGCAAGTACCACCTGTAGCTTCTCTACCTCGGGGCCAGAATCCACATAGAAAGGAGTTAAGGGGGAACTCAGAATTTCTTACAGAGAGCTGTGGGTGTTCATCCCCCCTGGAACAAGCTGCAGAGCCTGATTTGGAATCTTATGAACAGGAAGTTGGGGGGGTGTGCCTGTATCCCAGTGCTATAATTCCAGGCCATCCTTGAGGCGTGACTGGTTTCGTAAGGGAGAGTTCTAGATCTGTACCTTGGGAGAGGGAACAGCACTGATGAATGGTATTCCTTGATCTCTGCTAGGCCACTTGGAATAGTTGATTCCAAAAAGGTGATGACCAGCTTCTGTGTGGATAAAAAGATTTACATTCAGAAATCCTATTGATGTTCAGGCCAGCTGCTCTTTGATAATGCACAAGCACCATTTTAAAGAAAATTGTAGCAATAAAACACATCCCTTTCTGTCATTATGTTGTCAGAACTCAGTATCAAGATAGAAAAAGGTTAATTAAAACTCCCATTTATTTCTTAAAATAAACTTGCTTAAATCTGCAATTAAATAAGTAGTGTTAAGGCGTAGGTTTATCATAATATTTTAAAGCTATTAAAAGAAAATAATATTAAAGTACTACGTGTGTGCTGGTGGTGTTCTAAAGAAAGTGAGTCACTAGTTACCTCCTGGAACAATTGTCTGCTAATTGCCAAACCAGCTTTTAACAGCCTTAAGCTTTCTGGCAGATGTAGAGAAGACATTTTCTTCAATTCAGTCACTCAACTAATTTATTTAAATAGCTACCTAATTGGTAGTCAAGAAAATAACCGGGAATTGAAAAAAATCCCAAAGCTTCCAGACTACCAAAAAAAAAAAAAAGTGTGCTAATTCTAAAAACACAAAAGCTGTGCTAAGTATAAACAATCAGTGCAATTCATGACTTGCAGAATCTTTCTTCAATAACACATTATTAATATAAATTTTTGCACATTTAGATCACTGAAACAATTTTTTCCTAGTACCGATAGATATTATATCAATTTCTATTTGAGTTCATCTTAATAAAAAAGTACCCTCTGTTATATAGTATAGAAGAAATAGACTAACAATTATGCAATAACAAAAATTAAATATATCAGAGAACAGTTTGTTGTTTTTTTCTGAAATAAATGTGCACAGACATAATCTCCCCTTTAATAAAATTACTGAAAATATGTAGGGGAGTACTCCCTTTCTATGGGGGTATTATATTGCCAGAATGCTAAAAATTTGGCATATGTGCTACAAAATCAGGTATTGTGTGACATGTACCTGGAAGCAAAGACAGGAATGACTATAAAAACTGGGAAAAAAGTATCATGAGTGGAATAGACCCCAAAATTCTCTGGTTTACTGTGTTATGGGAGAAGGCTATGGTTTTTCCAGCTTCTATACTGATGCTGACCCCTCTACATTAAAAATGAGGGGCAGTGATACGTGGCTGGACAAGAATCAAGAGGATCCAAACAAGCTCATTTTTCTATCTAACCTATCTCCCTACCTAATTCAAGAATCTTATCTTTCATTTTATGATCTGAATCAGATATGCTGTAAGATATATTCTTACCAAAAATAGCGCCTATTTGGGAGTCAGAACTCCCAAGCATCAACTGTTCTCTGCTGGTTTTGTACCTGTCTTTGATATAACAGTCCCAAGCTACCCCAGAGCTGAGTACAGTACCCCCAGAGCTGGGGTGGAATTAAGCAGCATCAGTGCAGTGCCTTTGGAAATCCTGAACCAAAGGTACTATAATCACGTAAAAGCACCAGGCACTATATCTACCTAAGTATTATTTTACTATTGGAAGTAATGCCAGGCGCTTTGGATCAGAGCTCCCTGCAGTCTGAGTGTGTGTATTACTGAGTGTGGGTAAATGCAGAGAACAGCATTTAATTACTGCACAAATACTGCTCTTTTTTCCGTGGAGGTAACAGCTCTGTGAGTTGGTGTAAGCTGACTCTTATGGCTCAGATGGAGCCAGTTAAGAATCTCCAGGTCTAAAAACCCTGCTGAAAGATCCACAAAGGGTTACTTGAAGATGAGACCAGACTCATAAGTCTGTTCAGGGACCATTCCCTCAAGGAGGCACCTTGGTGTAAACATCAAGTAAACCAGGAAGTCTTTTTGCAGTGTTAAATAAATGAGTTCACTACTAGAATGCCTGGGTTTTCTAAGCAAAGGGAAAGACAGGATAGTGTTAAGAGGTCAAACAAGAGCTAATAGAGAATTCAGCTTAAATGAAATGATTTTTGTGAGGTCCATGATGAACTGTTTGCACTGCACACTAGGTGGTGTGCTTGACCTGCACTCTCAAGAGCCTAAAGTCAAGCATATTGAACTTAATTTAAGCTTTAATAGTTGTAAGAAGTCAAAGTACAGCCTCTACATGAGAACAAAAAGAGTGAGTGTTATTTATTAAAAATAAAATATAGACCAAAAAAATCATCACATTTAATCACTTCTAGTACCAGACACTTGAAAGATTACTTGGTAAAGGTTTTTAAAGAATAATTTTAAATGTTCCTTATGAAATACCAATAAATCCTGCAAGTTTTGATTATATGTGTTAGTTACACTTTTAGGAGGTTTGCACTATTAAATTATGGAGTTCAGTAGTGGAGAATTCAGTTACAGGGAGAGCATTTTTCTAAGGAAAAAGAAGCATAATGTGTTTGCTGTACAAAAAAATGCTGTGTGTAGTTTCCTCCTATTTTGTGGGAAGTTGTCTGGAAGTTTGCACTATTTGCGCCGTGAGCTCTCAAGCCTTTCACCACCATGCCAAATAATCACTGATTTTAAACAGCTGTAAATGAAAATTGATTCTTTTTGAGTCAATTCTTTCAAGCCCTCTTTTTGCTTAAAATCAAGCAAAAGTTATAAAAGCTTGATTGCTTTCATCTTTCATATCTGTTTTAATATGAACACAATGCCTACTCAAGCTTATTCCCCTAAACCTCCAATGATAAATTCTTACATTTCCACACTATTTGGGATAAAGTACCGATAGATGTGAATACAATAAGGTACATGAATACTCCTGCATCATGAAAATGCCAAGCCTTAAACCATATTTTAAAAAGCTTCTAAAATTTCATATGAAAGAGCTACATGTGACTTCAACTCTTAGTGGTACAATTTATTTTTACTTCATACTAAACTACAGTTATCACTATGCTTGGTAAATCAGATTATTTGAAAGGAACAGAACTGCCAATAGTTATTTTTTGTGGCCAATATATAAGTTCTATTTGAAATGCTGACAGTCTGCAACAGGAATTCATCATAAAATTACTATATCTTCTCTCAAAAAAATCTACTTATGTGCCACATCTTCGAGTGTTTTAGGAAACTGAATTTAAAATTTCAGGCAGAGCTTTTAAATGCCTGAATGAAAGTGATGCTTTGGGGGTTGGCTGGGTGGCTGCAGGTCATATTTCATATGCAAGTGTCCAGGGAGTGCTTGGATTGTGTTCTGTTGACACTACACCACAAAGATTACACCAACTTGTGTTTTGTGAGATTACCTGTCTTCCAGGGAGAACAGTGCCATTCCAAAACCACTTTAAATTCAGGAGTTGGACCTTGTGAGTCCCTTCCAACTCTGGATATTCTATGATTCTCTATAGCAATGTACCTGTGCAAGGTAGAAAACACAAAATAAGTATTAATGTAAGAAATTATAAACATCAATATCCCGTTACCTTTTTCTTTGCTCATTCCTACCCCTTCCAGGCCTTTCATATTATGATCCCATACCTTACCCAGCTAAAGGCTTTTATAAGCCAGTTTGTTTTCTGGCCTTAAAACTCCTATTTACATGTAGTTATTTATTTTTTGTATACTATAATTTCTTTGACACGCCTTATTTCCCTAAATACTTTTATATTCTATATGAAAGTATTAGAATGGACTCAATTTATGTAGGATGAGCAGCAACTCACAAAATTTGTGAGAGTAATAAGAACTATGTCTAATAATAAATCCCAAAAGTTATTTAAGGATAAAATATCTCAAAAACCAATGGAAAATTCCTCAAAGTTTTGAGAAACTGTAATATGTGTCAGTTCAGGGTGAGGTCACTTATTTTCTCCAACAAATTCTTGGTGGAATCTGTTCCACATGTGCCTTTATTTTCCTGTGGTGCTCACCTGTGTGTGATACCTTCCTCCAGCTGGATCTGCCTGTTGGTAATATCTGAATGACACCATGCGCACAGGTTGGACATGATCCACCACAGGAAAGGTCTTAAAGGATAGTGGGCAGTCTTCACTTCTTGGACTCTCTAATTGAGGCAGTAAATTTTTGTGAAAAAAACCGTTGTCATTTTGTCTCGACTGAGTAGATTTACTCTAGAAATGGCGGAAGATTTTGCAGCCCATTCTGCACAGACCAACCCAAAATCCTGTAATTGCTTCTATTAACTTCCAGGTCATTTAACTAGCAATGATAAATGGATCAGCCAGTTCTGGATGGGTACTAAGTTCTGCACAAGGAAAGATGATGCAGAGCAGATGTTTCACAACAGAGAAATAAAAAACAAAAAATACATTGGTTTGCAAGTTTCTTTCATGCAACTTGGTCTATCATAGCTGAATGGGCACTTCTTGAATATGCTTAGAAACTGTCCAAAGGGCAGAATGGAGAAATATAGATTCTCTGAAAACTGAAAATTAAGATTGCTTAGAAGTTTATTGATTATTTTCATCATTGCCAAATAGGAATACATGAAAGAAATATTAAATGTCCCTATTGTGAACAGAACTCGATGTAGTTTCAAATATGTATTCAGTCACAGTTCTCTAGACATTCTTTCTTTTTTTAAATAATCTGCATCCCAGCCTACCTGTTGGAAATCTGACATGTCGGTACATTTTTCAATCTCTCTTCAGGTGTCACTGGTTGTCAACGTTGCAAGTGAGTGTGGGTACACAGACAGCCACTACAAGGCCTTACAGCAGCTGCAGAGGGACCTGGGCCCCTACCATTTCAATGTGCTGGCCTTCCCCTGCAACCAGTTTGGGCACCAAGAACCAGACACCAACAGAGAAATCGAGAGTTTTGCGCGAAAGACTTACGGTGCCTCCTTTCCCATGTTCAGCAAAATCACAGTCAGCGGGGCTGGAGCAATTCCTGCCTTCAAGTACTTAATTGGTGAGTAATCCGGAACACTGGAGGGTTGTTTCTTCAGTGTAGAATTCCTCTGATACAAAATAACATCTGACAGAAAAAAGGTCCCTATGGTTGTGTTCACAGAGTTGGCAGGCTCAAAGAGGTCAGAAGTCATGTAGCCCTTCTCGCACAAGGCAGGATTTCTCTCTCTGTCACCTCTGAGAGCTTTGTCTTACCTTCTAAAAAGATCTCAGGAGGTGAGGACACATCAATAACAGTTGTCCTGTAAAAGCTCATCTAATAAACCTCTACATTGGATATAGATTTTGAAATATTCCCCTGTATACATCCAACACCTGACCTTCCGTTTTCTGCTTTGCAGCCTCGTAGGTGCTCCTCCTGTGACAGGAGTGCTGCAGGCTGGATTTATACGATTCATCTCAAGAGCTGTAGCATAAGTAGAAGCAAAGGACCTCATAATTTACTTCAGCAGTCAGAAAGTAAAACTGGGCACTAAAGGATGTCCTTGAATACTCCCTTCCTCATTCCTCCCCAAGCGTTGGAATAGCCATGTCCAGTTCTGCCAGTTCCAATCTGCTTTATAGCACTGAGACCTGAAGAGCTTTGCAGGTCCTTAGCAGCCAGCTGACAAAATACATTGTAAGGCAGGATATTCTTTTTCAAGGCACTATTTTTCTTGCACTGAACAAATGCTCTAAATACCATTTAAATGCTAAATTAAAATGTCAGTCTTAACCCAATGTGAAGGAAATGTCTTCCAACAATGAAATAAAATAAAGCCCAGTGTGACACAGAATTCCTTGAGCTCCATCCTGCAAGGACTGTGTCGCTGCTGCTTCTCTGCAGTGTTTGCCCACATACCACTGAATTTAAATGAGTAGTGATAATATTTGTGACTGTCCCAAGCACACCTCCTTCCAGGTGTCTGTGACGGATCTCTCTGCTAGGCAAACTTCCCTTTAATCTTCTTCAGGTCCTTCCGTTTCTGTTTTCCCCAGCAGGGTTGTTCCTGCAGACATCTCACATGAAACTTGCCAAACTTGTGTTTCCCCGTTGTCCCACAGGAAGCAGGAGGCTGCTGGAGGCAGCATTTAAGCAGCACAGTGGCTGTGTCTTGGTGCTACTTTGAAATATCTTCTAATTCCTCATGAGGTTTTGCTCAATGTATAATCAGTGGAAAAAAGATGCTAATTTGTCTGTAGCATCTGTACTTGTGCTTTTAGTGGGATGAGGTTCCTGTGCTAATTGAAAATCCTGAAAATTTTTTTAGTCATGTTGCAGAGCAGTGAAGGATAAGAATTCGACTCGTGTAAAATGAGTACCTGGCCAGGGAGGGAAAAAGTAGATGAGCAGGAGGAAACCTGGAACAATTACTTTGTTACTTCATGTAACATTTGTTGAAACAATCTTCTGAAGCACCTGACACTGGGTGCTTTCGGAGGGAAAATTCTGGGTAAGCAAGTAATCAGTCCTGGTACAGCTACACTGTTATGCCAAATACCATTTTCCTATCAAAGTCCACTGTTTCAGGTTTATCTGGGTGGCACAGACACACACATGCCCTCACACACTTTAACACCCATTCTAGTGCTTTCTCCTGTCTGTCTGAAGCTTCCCTGTTCCCATTAGTCCCCAGGGGGATCCTGTCTAATTAAAGCTCCCTGTCTGTCAGAAAATTAATCTTATTCAGTCTGAACTCCCTATTTTACATTCCTCCTTCCTCTGAGAGGGTAATCACCAAATTGATAGGAACAAATGTCAGGAATTGCCCAACGTGTTTTTCTAATATTTCACTTTTTCGCCTGTAGATTCTACAGGAGAAGAACCAACCTGGAACTTTTGGAAATACCTAGTGGACCCCAATGGGAAAGTAGTAAAGGCCTGGGACTCTACTGTCTCTGTGGAAGAAATAAGACCTCATGTTACAGAACTTGTAAGAAAAATCATCCTGAAGAAGAAAGATGAATTATGACTTTCAAAAATACCAGCATGCCCATTACATCTCTGTTGAGAATTAGGACGGGACTTTGTCTTTTCACATTCCAAAAGAGAGAATATGGGGAAGGGAAATTAGGACCAGTTGAATCTATAGTCACCATTCTAAGAATGTAGAAAACAGCAAGTTAGCGTGGTCTAAGTAATTTAAATTTTTTTCTCCAACTGAATTCAGTTTGACCTTTCTGGGAAAAAAGAAATTCTCAGTAATTGTTTCTTCCCCAATTCAAGTTATTCATTGTGGGTAACACTATAGGAAGTCAGTTAATGTACTTGTAGGAAGAAGACTCAGAATAATGAGAATTTCCTAACTGGGTTCTCACTGATATCTACATTTTTGTTGTTATGTTTTGACACAAACTGAATAAAATAAAGAGTAAAAAGTGCATGATTGACTCAAGGCATGTGCTAAGGAGAGAGACAAACCAGGTACCTTCAGCCCAGGCAGACTTGCATGGATATATGCCTTTCCAATTACCACAGCCAAACATATTTCATTTCATCTGTCTAGAAAGTCAGTTTAGAAGGGCACTGGGGAAATACATCTATTAAATAGAAATGGAAGAAATATGAAGACAAAGTCTCTTTAAAAATTCTCCACAAACTATGGGAAGAATTTCTATATTTTTTCACCAAGTAAAGATTACCAGATGATATTTAAATAGTCATTTGAACATCTGTAGGACCAGAGCCAATAAGAAATGGCTGTTTCTTTCTTCTGAGAGCATTTTGTCTTAGAATTACTCTCACTCATAAAAATCTCATAAAACTGATGTTAAATTTATTTTACAATTTATGACACCATCCAATTTTGCTGCATGTACAGACAAACATTAGACAATCAACACCTTTTCCATGGAGTTAATTTTTGCAAATATTTAATTCTTACATAATGTTACCTAGTTTAATACCACATTTATGTTACAAATTATTAATGTCACCTTTTCAGGCATCTGCTCAGCTCTCAGCCTGCAGAACTCCTTAGCTCACACTAAAATAATAACACCAACAATTGCAGCCTCATTGTTCCTTGACAGAAACCCTTTGAAAATCTTGTCAGATGAACTCTTTGTGTCTTGACAAAAACACAATGTTCCCATGCTCTTAACCCCAGGATGCTTTAAGAAGACTCTAGTCTTGTCCAATTTTGCAGTATTATTGACAAGTGAAAGCTTTTCTCTGCTTTTTAATGTTTTTTTCAGGTAGCACAAACAATGTTTGTCCATATAGTTGTCAGGGCCCAAGTGTACAAATAAGCCCTAATTGACCTGACCACAGTAAGGACTTTTTCCAAGTCATCACTGCCATTAAAGCTCTTCAGTGTCCAAACAGGCTCTAGGGGAAATCAAAGGCAAGTATTGTGGCCTGCACTGGTTTGCAGAACAAGAGGGGAAAGAAGAGACGTTCTGTGGAGCTGTCCAAGGAAGTAAGAGCTTGAGGTACTTTAGGATTTCCAGAAAGACCATGAAGGGCAGAGATTGTACTGGACAAAACAATCTCAAATTGCCTGAAAGAAGCTGAGAGTGAGGTTTTTTAGTTTTTAGTGAAAAAAAAAAAAAAGGGAGGCATGTGGAAGAGAGAATAAAAGGAAGAAGTAACAGAAGAACAAAAGAAAAAAGATATCAAGTAAAAAGGAAGAAATGAGAAGGAAATGAAAAGACAGTTTGCAGCCAAAGAATCTTTGGGACAAATGGGGCATAGAAATGTTCCAGTCTGAACATTGATACTAATGAGTATGTTCCAAGCTATATCAGCTACTTCTCACTTGAACTGTAACTTAAATGTGCAGGAAATTGGTGCTTGTGGCAGTGAATGTCTGTATTTTCCTCTTCTGGTGGTGAGGAAAGTGAACTCTATGGTTGATTCAGTCATTTAGTCTATTCTTACAGGGATCACTCTAAGACAATGGTTGCTAAGGATATCACATAGAAAGGAAAATCAGATCCAGCTGATACTGTGCTGGGATAGAGAACCCAGCTGCTACAAAAGAAACTCTTTATTATCCATAAACTGTTTTTCTCTGTCCCTTGATATTGATGCAGTGCCCCAGCATTCTGTTAGCAAGTGCTGCAGGGCTCAAAGTTTTCTCCTTAAGAAGTATGGTTCTGTTTTATAACTGAAGCCTGGATGAGCCCAGACCAGGCTTTTAAAAACTTTTTAGGCCCTTTCTGTTTCAATTTTGTATGTCCAACTTCAAACAGAACTCTGGATTTACATAGAAACAATCTCCCATTCTCCACCAGACAAATTCTACTAGTCTAAAGAGATGCAATGGCAAGAATCAGTTGGAAAGGTTTTATACTATATGGACAAATATTGTTTGTGCTGCTTTTAAAGGCATTACAAAGCACAAAAAAGCTTTCACTTGTCAATAATACTGCAATTGGACAAGACTAGAGTCTTCTTAAAGCATCCTGGGGTTAAGAGCATGGGAACATTGTGTTTTTGTCAAGACACAAAGAGTTCTTCTGACAAGATTTTCAAAGGGTTTCTGTCAAGGAACAATGAGGCTGCAATTGTTGGTGTTCTTACTTCAGCAGGAGCTAAGGAGTTGTGCAGTCTGAGCAGATGCCTGAGTGCAAGGAATAACTCCAGACTGGTGACTGTTAGAACTGAGGCTCTTACCAGTTTGGCCATTTAAAGAGAACTAAGGTAAGTATTACATATGCAAGCCATGAACAACAGCAAATGTGAACAGGCACATGATTTTAAGCACACACCTACTCTTTCAGAGGTTAAAAGAGTTGTTTTCATTATTAAATTAAGCACACGGCACATATTCCATCCTTTGTTGCACTAAATCAGTTTGCAGAACAAAGGCTTTGGTCTTTTAATCAAAGTTATGGAGTAGAAGTAAATCTCAGTTGTAGATTAATTCGTCTCTAGTCGTGCTCCAAGTCCTTTAGGACTTCCTGCTCAGAAGACTTGCAAATTACACTGCACTGGGTTAGATTTGTCTGTTGAGATTGGAAAGAGAGCATGCAGAGATCAGAAATGACTTTCTTTGCCTCATGAGTTCCAACACTGTTTTAATCTGACAGGGAGATCCCCTACAGCAAGTCCTGAAACCTGTAAACCAGCTCTGAATATTTAGCATGAAACATTTTTCCTTGTCACTTATTTATTTTGTAGAGACAATATCAGTGTGCATTAACAGCTGAGCACATTGATGCATGGAAAACAATTACCTTGATCACCTAAGACTTGGTCTCCTACAGTTTGCAACTTTAAAGGTGTAAATTCTTGGCATGTTGATTTAAAACATGAACTAAGCACCCTGACATGATTGTGTGCAGCCATGTGCCCCCTGTGACAATGCCACAGGGAGAAGAAATAACTTTAAAGCCTGACTATAAGTTTAAAGTTAGACCGGGCTCTTTTGATCTTTCAAAACTTTGTCTCATAAAGAAGGTAAAATCAGCCCTACATGTATTCAAAGCTCTGTTTGAAATGGAATGTGCTCCATTGATATAGAGCAATTGAAGGAAGTGATAGAGAGGGGGTTAACCCCCTTTTTTTGGCATTATAAGGAGAACAAAACCAAATATCCTCATTATCCTTACAGCCACATCTGGTATTTTAGTTATATGCCAGGGACATTTCACTTGAATTTCTATTGTGATTTTAGTCAGAAATCCCAGTGGCAAATCAGACACAATTTTTCAGTTTATCCCATCCAACACATCAGCAACTCATTCAATAAGTTGCTGACCATAGTCAGGACTTTCAGAAGACTGTACATCCCTTTGGTTAAGCAAACAAATTTGATGATGTCTTCAATTATTAGATCAACCAAATACATTCTCTACACATGTAAATCTATACTGCACCTTCCCATAGCACCAGATGAAATTTTACAAGCTTCCTTCTGACTCATTCACAGAAAGAATCAAATAAGCAGAGAAATTAGGTGTTCTCTGTGACAATTAACAGATTCTGCAGTAAAAACATCACTGGCAAAACACAAAGGTGTTTACAAACCTTTTGATGGATGAGATACTGAAAGCACCGAATTTGAGAACTAGTTCTTAACCGTATTAAAGCTCCACAGCACAGAGCAGAAGGAAATCACTGAGCTGTACCCAGACATCATCTCAAAGGTGATCTAATGCTGTGACCTAATGCTGCACAGCTCATTCATCTGCCCAGGCAGCTCACTGACACAGTGATGGCCACGGCAGAGGAGGAGAAACAGCAAAACTCAGCTACATCTTTTAAGCCAGCCCTTGGCACAGATGACAGTGGGGCCTGTCCAGTGACAAGGGCTGCCCTTTGCCAGCTGTCTCTGCACAGGAGCTGAATCAGCCCCAAGGGACTTTCCATCCTTAGCCTAGAAAACCTGATCCCAGCTGTCAGTCTACCTAAGAGATAAGACAGGCTGTTTTATCACAGCACTGCAAGATACCTGCTCCAAAGAAGATCTTCTAAAGTAATTCCAGAAAATGAGAACAATTGAAGGATCATTTGAGTTTTAAGTAGGCAGACCTGTATTCTGGAAGGTGAGAGGAGGCAGGGAAGTTTTTAAGATGGTTCTGCTGATGGAGAACAATAGAAAGACTGAAATACAATTGGTTGGAGAACAAACTTTCGTGACACCTGATTTATAAATGCAGTTCTGGGGCACACTTCCCCATCAGACAGGAATTACAGAAATTCCACCTTTAGGGAGCTGTAGTTTCAGCTTCCTTAAGCGAAAGATGCAGTAAGAAAGTTGTTACTGTATTATATAAAATAATCCTCTGGCTTTTTTGTCCCTCTTGCCCCAAAGGCATTGCTCTTTCATAGTTAGTGCTTTAACCTGATTTATATGATAAATCATTATATTTTTATTTATCAAGCAAGTAAATCTGACAATGATGAATAAAGAATAGCTGGCAAGGAAAATATCCATGACCCACAAATTGTTCATCCATCCTTTAAAAAAGGGCACAACAGTCAAATTGTTCTTGTAATGAAAGAGCTTGCTGAATTCCCTGCATAAGTTATAAATCAACTTCTCTAACCCTTAATTAGAGTCACACCACTCATTCTGATTTGTCATTACTTCTATGTTCAAAATACTGTTTATTTTCTTACTGGTATTTTACTGTCCTCTGGAGAGACCACTAACCACTAGAGATATATAGGGAAATGTTTTTCTGGCATATGAACATTTTACATTTGAAAACTCCTCTTCCAAATCCAGACACAGTATTTTATGTTTTCAAGGAAAAATAACCCCCAAACCATCAGTTTGGTTAAGTTGAAACATTTAGTTGGACACAATTGATGGGAAACATTTCAAAGGTGATATTCGTGTTTTCAAACTTTATAAATAAAATATTAAAAGAGAAAATAATTTCAAACCAAGAAACAGAATCTAAATGGCAATATAAAGAGCTTTGATGATCTTAAAACTTAGAAAATTGATTTTGTGAATTTTGTCAAAACATCTTTCTGCAGGTTTCGGCTTAGGGAACAGTTTGGTTAAAAAAAGTTGACAATTCCTGATATCAAAATGTTCTTTTGAAAAAGTCTTGCTTGCTTCAGAGCCTGCCAATCTATTCTGCTTTTAGCTACACTGAAGTGGACAGGAATATATCATTGAGTAAAATTGCAATCTCTGAATCATTCAGTTTTATTGAACACTGGGAATTGCAAGACACCATTTCTAGTTGTTAACTACATGCACAGTAAATGTGCTTGTCAAGCCATTAAGAAACTGGGAAGAAAGAGTTTGGTGAAACAGCTTCAAAAACACAAAACATTTCAAAGACCTGACTTAAAAAATAATATCATGTAAATAATCCATGCAGTAAACACGTAATCAACATAATTTTAGTAATTTAAATAGAAGAAAGGACATAACACAGGGGTTTTTTTTTAAGATTTAAAAAGTTAAGAGAACACTAATAGACAGCCAACTGGCGAGGGATAAACTTCTCCTAACTTTCATGTGGGAAGTCGTGTGCAATAGAAAGGTGTCATTTATGTCCACATGGGAAATTCAGGAGAAATTGTTTCAATGCTAGAGGAAGATCATAG